TTTCCGTTTTCCGGTTCCCGAACCGGACCCGTACCCCGTTTACCCCTACCCCAACCGACCCCCAACCCCAACCGGACCGAACGGCGGAAGAGTGTGTGCGCGCGCACACACACACACACACACACACACACACACACACACACACACAGGCATGCAGGTCAGGCAGTAGCTGGTGGCCCATCCTGGGGTGAAGGCCTCCTCCAGTCTCTCCAGCTCCATGTCTCACCCGTGCTGGGTGCCCTCCACTCCCCTTCCACACCCTCCCCAGCAGTGGTGGGACGTTCAGTCCTCTTGCACAGGAAAGGGGGTCCAGTTCAGAGTGCAGGGGCTTGGGGAGGAGCCCAGAGCAGCACACAGACCTGGGCCCATACTCATGCCCAGGCCGGGTCCTTCCCCAGGGAGGGGACGCAGAAAGAGAGGTGGAAATAGCTTTCAGGAGGGACGCTGGGGCACATTTATCAGCACTTCCCATTTCCTCCCCACAGATATTACAATTGTGTGTCCTTTCCGGGGTGCCTTGCCAGAGGGACTCAGACCCAGGGTCCCTCCAGGATGAAGACATTCGAGGAATTTCCCATGACCTCAATGACCTACAAGGCCTCCGTGGTGAGTGGGGTGGGTGGGCGTGGGCACCGCAGGTCCAGGCTGCTGGGCTCTCTCGGCAGGGGTCAGGTGTCAGGAACCCCTGAGGCAAGCAGCTCCAGAAAGGGAGCCAACTGTCTTTGAAAAGGTCAAGTCCAGGATGCGTCCCAAGCACCTGGGGTCTGGACACCCGTGCAGCGTCACCGTGTGTCTGCCACTGTCACCTGTGCCCTCCTCACACAGAGTCCCCCCTTCCCGGCAGCCCAGCCCTCTCTCTCCTAGCAAGGTAGAAACCCCAGGAGAAACCCAGTGGAAAGATGGCTTTTCCTTCCAGATAATTCTCCTGGGATCAGTGCGAGTCTCCTGGCCCCTTTGGTGGCCGCCAAGCCACCTGGCCAGAGAGAGGAGGAGACTGGGGTCAGGGTCATGAGAAAACCACCCGTGTCCTCAGATGCCATCAAACAGAGCAGGCCTCTCACAGCTCCGTGAGGCTGGAGCCAGTGTGCCCACTTTGTAAAAGCACAAACAGCCCCCAGCCCCCTTCCAGAAGGGGCGGGGCAGGGAGCACTGGCCCAGGGAGGCTGGACGGCGGGGACAGCTGTGGGGTCCTGGACCAGTGCCATACAGACCTGGGCTCACGTTCCAGAGCCAGATGAAGATAGTGGGGGGCCCTCAGCTCTAATGGTGTGCAGTTCCCCTCCATGTAAATCAAAATGAGAACCACGCCAAGTCACACTAAGGTGACAGCCCCACTAAACCTGGGATGTGTCTGAGGGTTCTTTTTCTATACTACAAGCTGCCAGATTCTTTCGATGCTTTCTCTGCTTCTCCTGCTCTGCCTGTGAGTATGGCCACCACCAGGGGTGTCCCAGCTTTGCCGCCCTCCTGAGTAGCTAGGCATGGCCCCTGCCAGGCCTCAGTTTCTCCCTCTGTGGCAGGGACACGTGACCCTTACTGCAGGCTCTGGGGAGGCATGGACACCCGTCTCCCTCACTTTCCGCAGGATGAGTGTTAGGTCAGGGGCGGTACAAGTCCACATCTACAGTGCCACTGTGGACGGGCCTCGGTGGGGCCCACAGCCCTGGCTTGCTCTCTCTGCACAGGATAACCAGACAGACAGTGGGATGGTGCTGGCCTCCGAGGAGTTTGAGCAGCTGGAGAGCAGACACAAACAAGAAGGCATATTCAGGTAAGACTTCTGGAGCCTCCTCTGCTGCCAGGGGCCAGGGGAGGGCGGCTGGGCCTGCGTGTGCCTGTCACTCTTGCAGGTGAAACCTTTCGTGGCTTCATGTTGCCCTTTTGTGTGTTCAAGTCCAGCTGCCCTGGGACTTGAGGCCTTTAGCCACCAGCCTTCCCAAAGGAGCCCCCTCCCCCTTCACCATCCTGACCCAGCACACCTGGTGCTGGTCCCCAAAGCTCCCTGCCATCTGACAGATGTTCAGAGGCCACCTCTTTGTGAAACTGAGCATGATCCGCCGTGCCCAATGCACGTAGCACCCCTCGCCCAGCCAGGGGAGGCCACCGCTGTCCTCTGTCCCCAGCGCTTAGCCAGGTGGCCACAGGAGCTAGACAGGCCACATGAACTAGAGCTGGCTGGAGCCCTACTTTGATGAGAAGACAGTTACAGAGAAATCCTCCTGTGTGCCTGCACAGAGGGCAGCCTGCATAGACCTCCATTTGCCCCAGAAGGTAGCTTCCCCTCCAAAAAAAACCCCTGAATGTTTAAACTTTGAAGGGTGTATTTAAGACAGTTAAGCGTCTACTTATTCCCTTTACAAGCGGACTTGCTCATGGTTGTGTAAATGACAGAACCTGTAATATGTGAAAGAGAACCCTTCCCCACTTTCTTCAGACTGCTGTGTTTGGACTGCTCCCTCCACCTTTGATGTCTGCATCTCCAGCAGGAGCCCCTTTTGGGTCATCTGACAGTTTCCCAGGGCAAATCCTGGCTTCTGCCGGGGCTGTGGTGGAATCAGTATGCAATGTTGCCACCGACTGTCGTGCCCGAGGCCGCAGGCTTTGGTTTGTATCACTTTAGATGGTTGATGGCGTTCTCACCTCTCTGGTAGGTGGAGTTAGGGCCTCGCAGCTTAACCCGCCGCCTGTTATTTTCCCAGCAGCCTGCAGAGTGTGTGCTCGCCGCCCTGTGCACGTTGGCGGTCGTGGGGTCATGTGTCTAGGGATGACTTCTGCACCTGCATCGTGCACCGTGGCCTCCTTTTTTGCTTTCATTGATTGTCAGGTGATCTCTCTTTGTCCCCTCGTTTGGGGAAATTAGTGCTCACTGCACTGACAGAAGTAATTTCTGGCTAATGTTTCTTTACTAAACGCTATTTCATCCCCCCCAAAAGAAATTCGATAAGAGGAGCCAGAGGATAAAAGCTACTTAAGTTCAAATCTGCACACGTCTTCCTAAAAGCAACACACAAAGGCCTGTCGCAGCCTGTGCCTGTGATGTGACAAGGCGAGAGGCTCCAGCTGAGCGTGTTTCGGAACTCAGCGCCAAAACCGGCAGAGCGGTGGCTGAGCCACGGCAGAAAGAGGACAGCATGGGAACTGCCCTGTGAGAGGGGCTGAAGGTCCTTGGGACAGTGGCCACACAGTCTGGGAAGGCAATAGAGCATGCCACCAGGGGACCGTCTGGGGAAGGCACTGCTTCTGAAAGGCAGAGAGCAGGAGGCAGTGTGCACCCAGATGCCTGGTGGTGAAGGAGGAAGAGAACTGCAGAAGATGAGAGTCCTACGGAAGCAAGATTGTGTTAAGAATCCAGAAGACAGATACACACCCAAGGATCTGTTCACTACAGCAACTGCCCCTCGTGATAGTGATGACAAAGGGCACAATTCTCTTCCCAGGTTCCTTTGGAAACACATGATGTGGCACAAAGGGGTGTAGCAGGTTGCTTGGCAGGTGCATTCACTTGACATATGGAACAGTCTCCAAACAGGTGCAAGGATGGACTGTGTGCCTTGGAGGCATCCGCTGGGGAGAAGGAGGGAGTTTATCTGCCAGTCCTTTCCTATCTTCTGCTAACCACTGGTCAGTACTCACCTCATGGGGAGTTAACTCATCTTCGCTTCCAGGTGGCTCACCTGGTCCTGTTAGTGGCCACTCAGGATGCCAGATCCCATGCCCTGTGGTATGGTGTTTCATCCAAGTCTATAGGCGGAAGGACGATCTGGAGACCCTGGCTTGTGGTTGGTCAGGCAGCTGGCCTGACCGAGAGGGCCTCACACTCCCTGCTAAGTGACTGGCTGGTCCATGGGATGTGAATGGAGCCACTGGAAAGAAGGTTGCAGTTGAAGGAATTTAAGGTGATACCAAAGATTTGGATCAGATACAGTGCTCCTGAATGAAGAACGCTGGCCTCTTCCATAGGATAACCTCAGCATGAATAATCATGGACAGAAAAAATAAGCACCATCCACACAGACTTATTTAAGAGTGGAAAAGGAAATTAGAATGAAAAGTTTTGAGGAGCTGTAAACACTCACAAAAAAAAAAAGCATAGAAAGACTGATACAATGTGCCCATGTGAATTAAAGTCATAATTAAACAAGGAGCTGCACTATGAGTCAGAAATGCAAAAATTCAGAGTAGAAATGGGCAAACGGTGTGAGGATAGCAAATGGGAGCTGTTGAAGTCAGGGGACAAATGGAAACAAAAGACGAATCATCTCAAGAATGAAAAGCAAAGTGCCAAAGGGATAATAAGATATGATCAGACTGTCACTGGAAGGCACAGAGGACAGACGTGAAAAGAAGTCAAGAAAATAAAGCCAAAATAAATAAAGAGGCAAAAAGGATCAGAAAGGATGTGAAAAATCTCAAAGTTGAGTAGAAAAGATCCAACGTATGTACAGCTGGAGCCTCTGAGGAAGAAAATGCCAACAGTGAAACAGAACTAATGTTTCAACCATGAAATTCAAGATAAGTCTCTTACATAAAAGGAGACCTGAATCTACATGGTGGGAGGGGACCTGGGAAGACTGGTCCAAGAATAGCAAACTCTGAGACATAGCCTAGTCCAGCTATCCGACTTTAAAGGTAAGCGTTCTGGAAAACACCACATGATACCCCTTAGATGTGGAATCTTAAAAAAAAAAAATAGGGCACAAATGAACTTAGCTACAAAACAGAAACAGACTCACAGGCACAGTGAACAAACTTATGGTTACCAGGGAGTAAAGGGGGTGGGAAGGGATAAATTGGGAATTCAAAATCGGCACCTCTTTGGGAGTGATGGAAATGTGAGCCCTCTTGATTGTGATGGTGGTTTCATAGGTGTCTACATCTATCAAAATTCATCAAATTGTACATCTGAAATATGTATAGTTTACTGTATAGGAACCATACCACAGTAAAGGTGTAAAGAAAGAAAGAAAGTAGAATTTCGATCAATGTTGAAAAAAAAAAAAGATAAACGTTCTGGGAATTCAAGCAAAAAGACCAAGTCACTTGTGGAGAAAAAGAGTCCAGAATATGAAAACGAACATATGCATGTACATGCATGACTGGGACACTGTGCTGTGCACCAGAAATTGACACACTGTAACTGACTGTACTTCAATTTAAGAAAAAGAAAGAAGGAAAAAGAGTCAGATTGGCATCAGGCTTTTCAGTAGCACCATGCAAAGCAGAAACAAACATGAAAGCAAAAGCAAAAGCAAAATCAATGAAACAGCATTTAAAAAAAAAAAAACTCCAAGAGAATGAGAGCGAAGGCGGGCCAGTCGCGGGCCATCAGCAAGATAGAGGCTGCGGGGCTTCCTGGGCCGGGATGAGATGCTTCGGCTCCGTTCTGAAGCCACTGGAGGGTCTGTCGGGAGGGAAAGTACACCGTCTGAGTTGAAGGATCTCTGAGGACTGGCTGAGTGGAGAAGGAAGATGCAGTCGGGGAGCCCAGAGAGCGCTCAGATGGCAGCTCCCGGCCGCGTGGGGCGGGGCACGGAGAGCACTGGACAGGGGGGTGAGGGGAAAGGAGGAAGAGAGGATGACACCCAGATGCCCGAGCCGTTGAATCAACGTCCGTGCCGTTTACGAAGACTGCAGGACTGGGTGAGAAGCAAGTCTGGGGGAAGGCAGCTGGGCTTTCTCTGTCGTGCCCGCCCCGCTTGGGGCCGAGGAAGCGCCAGTGTTTGCCGGCAGGCACGGCGGTTTGTCTTTCTATCTGAGTCAGGTCTGCCTGTGTTTCCACTGGCTTCGGCCCATTCCAGTCAGACCCCACCCCGATGAGGCTGCAGTCACTCTTCTTTTCTTCCTGATGCCACCTCCCCTGTCTCGGCAGCTGTCAAGGACCAGGCAGGAACGTGGACATGACCGTGGCACACCTCGACCCCCAAGGGAGGCGGCGGCGGCCGGACCGGGGGGGCCCGGGGCCAGGTGTTCTACAACAGCGAGTACGGGGAGCTGGCGAGGCCGCGCGAGGAGGGCGACCGCACCCCGCCCGGCCCCAGGGCCCTTCTGTGCAGACAGCAGCTACTGAGAGCAGCTCCAGGCAAGGCCCCCTCGACCCTGGGCTCCAGCAGTTGCCGGGGTCCGTGCCTGGCCAGCGGGCAGAGGGCTGGAGGCCCCAGGCCAGGGACTCACCTCCCTTAGTGTGGGCTGGGAGGCAGAACACCCCAGGCCCCCAGGGCTCCCCCTGAACCCCATCGCCATCCTG